AAACACATACACACACTCAACACACCTTTCTCGAAGACAAATATTATACAGATAAAAATAATAAAAGATCTTTTAAGACTAACTTGAAAAGTAAATAGACATAAATCTTTACGTCGACTAATTTCACACTCTCACCTGTTGAGCCAGTCAGCATTTATGACCCGGCTAAGAAGATCTGAAAAATTAACTGTCTATAAAAACAGTTCAGGGAATTTGAAAATATTAAATATTAGAACCAAAATATTAGGGAATTGGACTTGGAACTCCACAGTTGTTCTAGTTTGTCATCTTATTTTAAATATGAAGAAAATGTAGGTAGTTTAATTGAAAGTAGTAACAACAGCATTTATTTTCAGCCATATGCAATGATAAATACTGAGTATGGAAGAGATTATTTAGACTGAGGTATTTATTCTATGGTAATCAGGATCAACAATGTTGTAGGAAACTCCCCAGTGTCTTTACTTTCTAGTATTTCTCCCTGTCCACTTCTCCATTTTTTTTCCTTTTGTCTTTTGGGCCATACCCAACTTTGTTCAGACCTGACTCCTGACTTTGTACTCAAGAATGACTCCTGGTGGTAGGTATTTTGGAGACCATCATGGATGATGGGATAGAGCCCGGGTTGGCTGCATGCAAGGCTAGCACCCTACATGCTGTACAGAAGGCTCTGGCCTCCCCGTTTACTACTGTTTACAACATTTGCTTTGATGAAATTGTACATTATGTGTTCATAATTTATGTCACATATTTGACTGTGCCCAGAAAAAAAATCCATCTTCTAAGTACAAATATTGCTGAAAATATAAGCAAAATATGCAATTTTAACTTATGATGAATAAAAAAGTCTATCTTACCAGTAATAATTTATAACTAAGTTGTTCTTAACCTTCAGTAGAAACACTTATATCCTTCTACTCCTTATAGCACTGTTCTGTGATTTGATTCCAGCCATGTGATTTGATTCCAGTCACATACATGGCATGAATGTCTTTGTGTCAATGTGCATGGATAATTTTTAATACAACTCACACTAGTGTGGCCATGCATTTATACTACTTGCACGCCAATTTCTTGTAACAACTTAGCTGCTTAAAAACAGAAAGGTAAGTTACCCTTGTTTTCCAGCATCTCCCTCAGTATCTGTCATATTCAAATTATGTGATTTAAGATTATTTATTATTTTTAAGATTTATATTTCCTTTGTAACATAGTCATAAAAGAGAAACTACGCTTATTTTCTATCTTTAAAAGTGAGCTAATAAGAAGTATAAAACAGATGTGATGGGGGCAGGGATGTTGGGGTTTGGGCCACACTCAGATATGCTCAGATATTACTCATGGCTCCAAGCTCTGAGATCACTCCTGCAGTGCTCGGGCATCACTCCCGAGTGTTGCCTTTATTTTTTTTATTGTGGTCACACTGAGCAGTGCTTGAATAGGAGAACACCATGCAGAATTGAGGATAAAAACCAGGACCTCACACATACACAGCAGATGTTCTAATACTCTTCCCCATCTTTGGTCCCCATCCTCTGCTCTTTATTAAGCACCATATTTCCTCATGATTATAGTCTTGCTCTTTGATTTGAAGTATAGAACTTCTGGCCAATTTCAGACACTGTTATGATTTTAATCAATACATTTTCTGAAATTTCCTACCCCTTTATTTTCTTAATCCATTTTTCTTCTCCTTGTAGGACATCACTTCTTTGAATTTTTTTTTCTTTTATAAAAATTATTTGGGTCACACTCATTGGGACTCGGGATGTGTGTTGCCAAAGCCACATGCCAAGGTTCTGAGAGGCCACCAGAACAACTTCAATTCTAGGGTTAGGAGCATGTGGTGTAGAACCAGGTCCTAACTGAGGCATGCAATTCCAGGTCCTAACTCAGACATGCAATGCAAGTATTCTTAAAAAAAAACAAAAACAAACAAACAAACAAAACTAACAACACTATATACCCATTCCTTGACAACATTCCTTGAGCTTCACTGAATATGTACATTTCTCGGCTCTGACTTCTATTACATCATTGTGATGATGATTTGTGCCTCTCTATTACTCTCACTTTATTAAGCTTTTAAAGAAAATGGACAGTGATTTACTGCCCAGGCCTACTGTATTTTGCACAGACGTTATCTTATATTTTGTGGTGGTGTTAAAATAATAAGGTAATGAATAGTAAATTATAGAGCTTAAAGCATTTCTCTTATTCTATAAATAATTTTTTTGGTCATTTTGAGGACTGTTTCTTGTCAATATGGAAAGTCTATTCTCTTTTCTCTTTTGAGATTTATTTATGGGTCTCTGAAGCAATGCTGGTAGTAGAGCTTACATGGTGGTGCTGGAGTTGATTCATGGGGGTAGAAAGTTTGTTCTTTACCAGTCTCTATATACTATTTGATGGAAAAATTATATCTTTAACAGGTCAATGTAACACATTTTACTTTAGTTGAAGAAGCAGGAAACTCTTAATTTTTGAGAGTTATTTATTGGCCTGAAGCTTATTAGTTTAAGATGAAAACAATAACAACAAGAGCAAGAAAAACAAAATCCAAATGTTTCCAAATAATAGGTGCAGTGGGAATATTCTGGATGAATAAAAAACAGAGGACTCCCATGTTACTGGAAAATCTTTGTAAGTGAAATAAAACGTCCACAGTTGACTTGTAATTCTAACAAGACCTCTTCCATTTTAAAGAGTTGCTTCTATATTGAACTAAATATAGTTTCATAGACTAGGTGTACATTTGCTAGTATTATTGAAAGTATAGAACACTATAACTGTTTCATGGGGATAAATAAAGAATAGAGAGGAATAATATGTTCCAAATGTTAAGAACCATTTTATGTGACATTACCATAACAATGATGCTGAATAATAATTTAAAAAAAATTAGACTTGCTATTGTTTAGCAGGATTCTATTTTTCTTAGAAATTTAAAGATATTTTAATCATCTTAGTGATATTTCCACCTAAAAGTGCCCATTTCTTAACCATAATTTAGTACTAAATTATTTTGTAAAGTTTAAAACATGGGTGGGACATGCTGCAATTAAAAAATTACAAAAAGCATTTAGTTATTATTTGACAGATAAATGAATCAATTGGGAAATTCTGAATATGGTGTTCATTTAAAATAGTGACTGAGTAAAGAGACACACTAATGTGAGAAAAATAGGGTTTGTTTTGTTTTGTTTTTAAGGAAATGCATCCATCACATTTCCTTATTGGATCTCACAATTTTTTAGCTATTTATCCAAAGACAATAGCATGACAAAATCTTGGTGTGTGGCCTCAGAGTTTTTGTTCTGGGAAGATCCATGCACAACAACTCTATCATTTCAGTTCTAAAAAAGTCTGTTCCTAATTCAACTAAAATATCTGATGGTCAATCCTAAGAAACTAGATTATGACTATAAGAAATTTATAGAGCCCACTGAGATCTCAACAATAAATCTACCACTCAAGTTAGCTCAAATAAATTTTTACTTACTGGGATTAAGAATATTATTCTGCTCTAAATGAATTTGTACCAAATGAATTAGAACTATCAAGAATGAAGTACTGTACTCATGCACAGACAGGTTCTGGTTATACACGTTCCTCAAAAACTGATTTTTGCAACACATTTAATTAATTGTATATCTTCGATGGCATATTTAACATAGCTCATTTATACAAATGTTGTCAAAATACAACACAGCTTTTCAATGCTGGGATTCTGTTGTTAGAAGCCATGCTTCAGTACACCAATGCACCAGGACTACTCCAACCAATGGCTATTCATCTCCAGCAAAAGGTTTCACAAGAAATTACTGTGAATTCTTAGAGTCTAAAAGAATGAGAATGCTTCTAAGAGAATCTGTCCCCTCGGGGTGAAGGGATCAGTGGGAGACATTACTGGTTAGGACACTAGGTAAAGAATGATCTGTGCTCACAAGTTGGTCTTATTCAAACACCATGTTTTCATTAGTACTTTTAAAGTGCAATGGTGGTTTGTATTTCTGTCCCTGGAAGCATTCAAAAGCCTAAGGGCACGGATGAGACAAAAGTGATAGGCTCAGCTGGAAGAAAATGAAAAGTTTGTATAAGACCAAAGAAAGCTTCACACTGAAGTATTTGTTAACCTAACAGCTCTTCTTTTTAACTGCAGAGTTTACCTGAAGGTGTCTGTCTATTGAAGTAAAGTGATTTCAGTCAATATAAAGCTGAATAAAAACCACCAAACTGAAGCAAAAAGAAGTATGCCATAGCATTATCATTTTTTGAGACTTTGTTCATTTAAATGAACTTGAAGAATTAAGACAGAAATGATTCAGTTTATGTTTTATCTTGCAATATATAAAAATAGAAAATATTAAAAAACTAGCTGCAATCTTTTTCTATGTAAATGTTTTATATTTTCCTCTTTTTGCCTACCTCCTTTCCTAATCTTTGATCAACATAAATATAAGATTTAACATGTGTGTTTTAATAAAAATACAGAATGTTATTCTATTAATATTTAATATCCATGCTATTTTTCTAAGCTAGCACCAACTTCAAAATAAGATTATTTTAGAGTATCTATGCATATATTTATTGTTTTACCTCATCATGCATTCTTCTCTCTCTAGAGCTGCCCACTCTATCTCTTGAAATGGTTACATTTACTTTGTATCCTTTAAATAAAATTTCTTTGCTTAGAATAAAACCTGTATTGAATGTGCACAAAACATCATGGATGAGGACAAAGAGTGAGCTATTTCAGTAACAATAAATGGCAAAGGGATCACCTGACAATAAAATAATTAACCTGCCAAATATATATTTCATATGTTAGAGCTAGAAAATAATCCAAAAGACTGGAAAAAAACTTAAATACATCTTTTTTAATTTTGGACATATAAATTATATTTGTAAAATGCCAATTATGAATAAATAATATTGATTTTACTTCAACATTAAATGGTTACTATATGTACATCTTAAATAAAATAAATATATCTTGCCTTACAAACTCTTCCAACTCGAGAAAGAATGGTTTTATCAGAAGTGCTGCCTTCTTGCGATGATTCACGAAAAAAGAAATATATCTTATCATCATCTGGATTATAGGTGTCTGGTATTGGGAAGGTTCCAACAAATTTTGCTCCTGATTGAGAAGAAAGGAGATAAAAATTCAAAATGCTAATATAATTCAGCAAATTATATTATAATATAATTCAGCCAAGATTTCAGCTCTCATATCTTGTAGGTAAAACAATTAGGAATAAAGCAATAATACAAAAAGAACCAGAGGTAGAATGTGGGAAATGAGACAGTCAAGCATGACACAATGTAGAAACACAAGGAAACACAAAAACTTCTTGCACAAGGCTACTCTGTATTCCCAAGTACAGGTGAGAACAAAGTGGATGATACGCACCATTGTTACAAAGAAATTAACTTAAAGTCTTTCAAATGATTGCATATTCTCTATATGATGGGGTCACTGTTTCTAATTACAATGCCTAGTTTAAAGATGCCTATTATAAAAATGATATAAATGCATCCATTTTGGACATACTACATTACTTTCATGTTTTGTGAAATTTTTCTAAATGGGAATCAAAATGCAGCCACCAACTGGGCTTGGATCAATTCCAGTGTGGGTCTGGGGTATCTTTTCTAGAATGATATCTTTTATCTACCTCTTGCTCTATTAATGATCTTGCAAATATTATTTGACTTCTTTATGCCTCAGTTATCTCATATTTACTATGAAGCTGCCCATATGATCAAAGGAGTTGGATGAGCAATATAATAACCATGTGATTTAGTATATGTGAAACACTATCTGGCAGTTCCTAACCCATAATAAGCATTCAAAAACTATTCATCATTATTAAGATGATGGCTGACTTGATAACTTTCATTAGTAATATAATCACCAAAAGAAAAAGAGAAGACAGAGAAATAGTTCAGTTGTAAGGTGGCTGTCTCTCAAGCAGACAACCTGGCTTTGATTTCCTGGCACCACAGACAGTTTGTCCAGCACTGCCAGGAGCAATCCCTGAGCCTAGAGCCAGGAGTAAGTCTTGACCACAACAGAGTGTGATTCCTCTACAAAAAAAAAGAAGCAAAATCAAGCACATCAATACAATTATAATACCAATCCACAGTTGTTTAAAATGATGCAGTTTTATCTCCACTTCATCTGCAAAGAAGCAGCAGGCTCAAATAGCAGCATTTGTGAAGTGATAGAACTTAATTAAACATTAACATCTCCAGATTTTGAAGCAGAGGCTGAAGACAGTATCATTCAAGATCTAGAAGTTGAGCAGCATCTCTCTAGGATTCAGTTTTAGTTCCTCAGAGGTATTAAAATTTAAGCAACAGCCACCATTCTCTTGGCGCCAGCTGCAGTACCAGACACTCCATCCCATTTTCCTATGATTACAATTTAAAATGTCTTATTTTCTCTCTATATGTTTTACAGTATAATATATCCTATAAATTCTAATAATATAAAAAAGTAGCTCAGATACACAGGTATACTAAATTAAAAAAATATATACTAGTGTAGTGTATATAGTATATATATACACATATATACATGTATACACAAATATATATACATACATATAGTATACTTTTCACAAAAATATATACCCTAGAGTTCTGGGCTGGAGCAATAGTACAGTGGGTAGGGCATTTGCCTTGCAAGCGGCCAACATGGCCGACCCGAGTTCAATTCCTCCGCCCCTCTCGGAGAGCCTGGCAAGCTACTGAGAGTATTTCGCCCGCCCGGCAGAGCCTGGCAAGCTACCCGTGACTTATTCAATATGCCAAACACAGTAACAATTGTCACATTGGAGACGTTACTGGGCCTGCTCGAGCAAATCGATGAACAACAGGAGAAAAGTGATAGTGATCCTAGAGTTCTAAGAGAGAATATAGGATTAAAGTGCTTGCTCTGCATGCTGCTGTCACTGAGTCTATCCCCAGAACAACCTTGCAATCACAGAGAGCAACTCCTGAGCACAGACTTGAGGGCGATACCCAAGAACTGAGTTAGAGTTGTAAACCTCCACTACCAACAAAAAATATTATATGCCATAAACCAAGTATCAAAGTATTTGCAGGCCAGAGAGATAGTACTGCATTTGAGGTGTATGCCTTGCATTTAGCCAAACGGGGTTCAACCCCGAATTTGGAGCCCCCAACCCCCACTAGGTGTGATTCCTGAACAGAGTGAGGAGAAAGCCCTTATCACTGCTGAGCATAGCCCCCAGATCAAAATAAATAAATGCATAAATAAAAAATTTTACTCATGTAATAAATTAACCACTTTGTACTGAGCAAATGATGAATCGATTTGGGTTACTACTAGTTCCTTTTAAGAAAAATTATGGATAACGAGTTTTTGATTATGAATTAACCAGGTAACAGATCTATAAAAATGTCAGGACTAATATTATCTGTTCCATTAAAGTAAATAAGTCAGAATGCATACTGAGCAAACAAGGAAGGACTTCAATTAAGCAGAATAATGATAATACCAAGAAGGAAATACAGTGTACTGGGTAAGAAGGAAGAGAAGACAACATTTAAATGGCAAGTAGGAGGTGAAAAAAAAAATAGCTGTTGCCTTCTCTAGAGTTTTTCCAGTACCCAATCTGTTGGATACCATGAGTGTTGAAAATTGTTCCCCTGTGAACTACAGCAAGTGATCAACAGCTCAGTAAAAAAAAGGTAAAAGGTAAAGGCCCTCCCGTTGATCGTCGATTTGCTCGAGCGGGCCCAGTAACGTCTCCATTGGAGATTTTGTTGTTACTGTGTCTGGCATATCGAATACTCTCGGTAGCTTGCCGGGCTCTCCGAGAGGGGCGGAGGAATCGAACTCGGGTCAGCCATGTTGGCCGCTTGTAAGGCGAACGCCCTACCCACTGTGCTATCACTCCAGCCTGCGATAGCACAGCGGGTAGGGCGTCTGCCTTGCACGCAGCCAACATGGCCGACCCGAGTTCGATTCCTCTGCCCCACTCGGAGAGCCCGGCAAGCTACCGAGAGTATTCGATATGCCAGACACAGTAACAACAAAGTCTCCAATGGAGACGTTACTGGGCCCGCTCGAGCTCGAGCAGTAAAAAAAAAAAAAAAAAAAAAACAAAAAAAAAACTTCACAAGAGCCTTCAAAGGGCAAAAGTTAATGTTTGTCTCCAAGTGTTGGATAGTCCAGTCTTTATCATCCCAGATTCTCTCAATCAGCCCTATCCAATCTCTTTTCTGATGAATGAGAAGTCTTACAAGGAAAGGTGAAAAGGTAATATGTGCAAAAATTTTCTCCACTTTGCTCCGCATTATTTCCACATTATTTTTCTGAACCTAGAACACCAAAAGATTCTTCATTGTGATGTTGTTCTCAATTATATGAAATTAATTAAAATACTATTTTATTCATTTTATTCGTCTTAAATTGGTAGAATCCAATAGCAATTCTACTAAATGTTTTAAATTGCTTTCCATATGCACCATTTTAATTTCTGATGAATCACAAACACTTATTTTTGAATCTAAGAGCAAAGCAAAAAAAAAAAATAAACTGAGCAGAAAAATGATATAGGTTTTTTATTTTTGATTAAACATGTAATGTGTTCTTTTAAAAAATATTGTGGAATTAAATTAAATCCCACTATGGTATAGAAATTTTAGCAAACTTTGAAAAATAAAATTTATTTACTAGTTATGATGATTAGGGCTGGAGCGATAGCACAGCGGTAGGGCATTCGCCTTACACGCGGCCAACATGGCCGACCCGAGTTCGATTCCTCCACCCCTCTCGGAGAGCCCGGCAAGCTACTGAGAGTATTCGATATGCCAGACACAGTAACAACAAAGTCTCCAATGGAGACGTTACTGGGCCCGCTCGAGCAAATCGACGATCAACGGGAGGGCCTTTACCTTTACCTTTATGATGATTAGGGCTGGAGCGATAGCACAGTGGTAGGGCGTTTGCCTTGCACGCAGCCAACATGGCCGATCCGAGTTCGGTTCCTCCGCCCCTCTCGGAGAGCCCGGCAAGCTACCAAGAGTATCTCGCCCGCAGGGCAGAGCCTGGCAAGCTCCCCGTGAACGTATTCGATATGCCAGACACAGTAACAACAAAGTCTCCAATGGAGACGTTACTGGGCCCGCTCGAGCAAAATTATGATGATTAAATATACTTAATAATCAAGTTATTAGGATCAAAGAAAACAAAAAATTGTACTAAAAACTCATTTTTCACTTCAAGCCAATCATAATCTAAATTAAAAAAAAATACTAAGGATGGTTAAGCTATAGCTAAAGAAAGGGATCAATTTTACTATTTCTAGTTCCCTGAACAATGATAGTAAGAAAGAATAGGAAAAAAGACAAGCAAAACTGGCTTCACAGATGCAGAGCTGGCATTAATAGTAATCAAACAAATTTTTTTTTAAAGTTTAGAGACTACAATGTTGCACACTTGGATGAAAATCTCCCATCTGCACAGCATGTGTATTTTTAAAATAAATATGAAAATAAATAAAACCATATAGTTGGTTCTTACTTGCCTCTAAGTTTAAGAGTCACTGACATAGATCTGTCATATAGGTAATCCTCATTAACTCAGAGCAATGCTATACATATCATTTTTTAATTTAATTTTTTTTTTGGCAAGATCTGACTGTGCTCAAGGCTTACTCCTGGTCATTCCTAGTGGTAACTGGGGGACCATCTGGATCTGGGGATCAGACCAGATGTAAGCTAATCACATACAATGCAAGCAGCCTGCCCACTGTACTGTTTTTCAAGCCCTGTTATACATTCTCTTAAGCAATTAGAGTGAGGCAAAAGGGAGATTATTAAAAGTTTACAGGGGTATGAGAATATGATTGACTTGTTCATTTTGACAAATATGTGATCCTAAAATAGGAAATATTGCATGTAGAATTTATCATAACATTTAATTTTAAGCAGAAGTTATCTATGCATGCATGACGACTTGGGAAGACGAACATACTATCAGACCTACCTAATGACTGATTTTAATTACACTTAAAAATTATGGCAATAAAATATGTGTATAAAATTCTCCTGAGAAACATGAGATATTGAAGATTTGCAACATAGAGTCATGCTAAAAGAATA